GGAGAAGTCAAGGAGAGCTGCAAGCATGCTGGAAGCTGGTGACCCCGGATCTACCTGACCTGTGCTTGTGGTTATCAAATTGCTCTTTGGTTCCTCCTGCCCAGATTTGGGCTCTGCAGCATTCTGTATGTTCTTAGCTCCTAGACAATGGTCCTAATTTAATGGAGGTACTTACCTGCTCCTGCTGCTATATGTGCTAAACTTAGCACTGTGGCAAACACATGCTCCTCTGCCCAATGGGGTGTATCATCTTCAGAACCCATTCTTTATTTTTTTTGGTCGTGGGCTTGAACTCTGGGCTTAGGTGCTGTCCCTGCACTCTTCAGCTCAAGGTGAACGCTCTACCACTTGAGCCACAGTGCCACTTCCAGTTTTCTAGTGGTTTATTGGAGATAAGAGTCTCACGGACTTTCCTGCCTGGGCTGGCTTTGAACCGTGATCCTCAGATCTCAGTCCCTGAGTAGCTAGGATGACAGGCGTGGGCCCCCGGCGCCCGGCAGAGCCCATTCTTTCTTGTTCACTAGTTTGTGCCCTATCACTCACTCGCTTATCCAAAACACAGCACCTCATTTCCAGCAGATCATCTTTGGGGTTCTTGACCTCAGGTCAAAGGCACAAGCATGCTAAAAAGTGAAATGGCCACCAGCAGTAACTGAGCATCTATTCTGTGTGGTGTCACGAGTGGACATGGCAGTCAGAGTGATTTTCTTTTTTTAAGAGATTTTTCTTTTGGGGTCCGGTCGTGGGGCCTGAACTCTGGGCCTGGGCACTGTCCCTCAGCTCTTCAGCTCAAGGCTAGCACTCTACCACTTGAGCCACAGCGCCACTTCTGGCTTTTTTCTTTTTGCTTATGTGGTGCTGAGGAATCGAACCCAGGGTCTCAGGCATGCAAGGCAAGCGCTCTACCACTGAGCCACCTTCCCAGCCCTCAGAGTGATTTTCTAACCCAGAGTCACACCATGGCCTGCTCCAAACTCTGAAGGCTCCAGTTCTTGTCAGCTGCTGGTGGCTTATGCATCTATAATCCTAGCTACTGAGGAGACAGATTTGAGACAGATCTGTCAGCTCAGGCAGGAGAGTCCATGAGATTCATCTCCAGTTAATCACCAAAAAGCTGAAAGTGGAGGTGTGGCTCAAGTGGTAAAATGCCAGCCTTAGCTAGAAAGCTCAGGGACAGCACCCAGGTCCTGAGCTCAAGCCAGAGTACAGGCACAAAATAAAAACTAAAAAACCACAACCAGCTCTGAAGGGCTTACAAGACTCTTGTAAGCTCCTTCTAGGGCTCCAAACCTGGCTCAAGATCTTCTTGGAGCTGTGCACCAGTGGCTCATGCCTGTAATCCTACTCAGGAGGCTGAGATCTGAGGATCACAGTTCAAAGCCAGCCTGAGGCAGGAAAGTTCATGAGACTTTTTTGTTTTGTTTTGTTGGTCATGGGGCTTGAACTCTAGGTCTGAGCACTGTTCCTGAGCTCTTCAGCTCAAGGCCAGTGCTCTACCACTTGAGCCACAACACTACTTCCACTTCTGGTTTTCTGGTGGTTAATCAGAGATAAGAGTCTCACTGACTTCCTGCCTGGGCTGACTTTGTACTGTGATCCTCAGATCTAAGCCTCCTGAGTAGCTAGGATTATAGGCGTGAGCCACAGGCACCTGGCTCATTCATGAGACTCTTATTTCCAACAAACTACTCAGAAAAAGCCAGAAGTAGCTCCGTGGCTTTAGTGGTAGCGCTCTCGCCTTGAACAAAAGAAGGTCAAGGACAGTGCCCAGGCCCAGGTCCAGCAAAAATAAATAAATAAATAACTTTGGACATTATTTTTCGGTCTGAGAAAAATCTATCTCAAGGTGTTGGAAGTATGGCTCAGTTGGTAGAGCACTAGCCAATGAGCAAAAGCAGCAGGTATTGAGTTCAAAAGAAAATCCATTTCCAAACGGTAGCAATTACTTGTAATCTCTAATTGCCTTGATTATAGATAGCTCAGAGGACTTTGACATTTTTCCCTAAGGATTTCAAGGAAGTCCCTGGCTTCTGCTTCCCCTGCTCAAGCAGGCGAACCAAAGCCAGGGACTGTGAGGCACCAACCACAGCTGACTCAGGCTCTTGGGCAGCCAGCTGTGGTGGAACAGGCACACCAGCCTGAAGTCTGCTAGGCTTATGGGTGGCTGCTGCCTGCTACTCACCACAATTCCACATCTTTTCATGGCCCTCAGCCCATTTCTTCGTCCAAAGGAGAAACTGAAACTTCATTAGGAGGAAAATTCCCTTCAGAGGGCTCACCCCTCACCCCCATGTCACTCAAACTCTCTAAGCAAATAATCAGCTCAAGAATGAGCACTGCTCTGGATTTACAACAAAACAAACATGAAAAAAACCTGTAAGCACAAATCTACAGAACCAAACTGTTTCCAAGTAACTTAATTCCTCAAACAATGCTCAAATGGATTCACAGGATTATTAATATATTCCAGATCCAATGAGGTAAAAATCTACAATCTCTGACATCCAACGAAATATCAAGCCCATACAGGGGCAAACAAGCCACACAGGAAAGCAAGCAGCCACAACTGGCAACCGAAACAGGTGTAAAAGAGAAATATACAATACCCAGGCTTCGAACTCAGGGCCTCATGCTCTCAACCTCATCGCTGGCATTCAGGTGAGCTATGCTTCTAGTTCAGTGTTTGGTTGGTTAATTAAAAGTAGTCTCACACTTTAACGTAGGGCATTAAAATGTGATCTTTTAAGGCTCAGCTTCCTGAGTAGCTAGGATTACAGGTGTGAGCTATTGGCACCTGGCCAAACCATTCTACTTTTATTCTCTATGTTCAAAATGTTAGCTCATATATGGTCTTTTGACATGATCCAGACTATTTACAAAGGCACAAAACCCATTCAATGGGGATATCTCAGTCTTTGTAATAAGTGGTGGGAGAACTGTGCGTCCATCCACATACAGAAGGAATTTGGGGTCCTCACTGCTTCCACAATGCCCACGTTGCTCTCTGTTCCCACTGGAGTTCAGGGGAAGCGGGAAAGGAGATCTTTGCATCTTGACTGTAACAAAGCAGACTGCCTGCAAACCCACTAGTGGTAAAAATGTCTAGGAAGCAACTGGTTGCAAAAGGCCTGGTCCTGGGGCACTCTGTGTAATTAAACCTCATTATAAGTTCATTGGCCTTTTCATTTGCAAACTCCTTTTCAGCATTTGATACAAGAAGTGGCCAGGACTTGCCAACAGAGCTGAGCTTCAGCTATTAGTAGCTTTTTGGAGGTAAGCAATATCTATCTAGTTGGCCTTTTGGAAGACACCAAACTCTGTACTACCTATGCCAGACACATAATAACTATGTCAAAAGAGATTCAACTAGCTGACTGCTAGAGGTTCATGCCTGTAATCCTAGCTACTCAGAAGGCTGAGATCTGAGGACCACAGTTCAAAGCTAGCCTGGGCAGAAAAAGTCTGAGATTCTTTTTTGTGTCCATCGTGGGGCTTGAACTCTGGGCCTGAGTGCTGTGCCCCAGCTCTTCAGTTCAAGGCTAGTGCTCTACCACTTGAGCCACAGTGCCACTTCAGGCTTTTTCTGCTTATGTGGTGCTGAGGAATTGAACCCAGGGCCTCATGCATGCAAGGCAAGCACTCTACCACTGAGCCACCTTCCCAGCCCCACTTCCAGTTTTCTAGTGGTAATTGGAGATCAGAGTTTCACAGACTTTCCTGCCCAGGCTGGCTTTGAACCATGATCCTCAGATCTCAGCCTCCTGAGTAGCTAGGATTACAGGCATGAGCCACCAGTGCCTGGCTGTGATACTCTTATCTCCAATTAACCACCACAAAACTGAAGTGATGCTGTGGTTCAAAGTGGTAGAGCACTAGCCTTGTGCAAAAAAGAAAAAAGAAAAGAAAAAGAGCTCAGGTATAATGCCCATCAGGCCTTGAGTTCAAGCCCCACAACTGACAAAAAAAAAAAAAAGACACTCAACTAGAGTCAGGTGCTAATGGCTCATGCTTGTAATCTTAGCTACTCAGGAGGCTGAGATCTGAGGATCACAGTTCAAAGCCAGCCTGGGCAGGGAAAGTCTGTGAGGCAATTATCTCCAATTAAACACCGGAAAGTTGGAAGTAGAATGGTGGTTCAAGTGGTAGAGTGCGCCCTGAGTTCCTGCCCCATGACTAGAACAAAAAAATGAAAAAAGAGGAAATAAAAAAGTCTCGGGCTGGGAAGGTGGCTCAGTGGTAGGGTGCTTGCCTTGTATGCATGAGGCCCTGGGTTCGATTCCTCAGTACCACCTAAGCAGAAAAAGCCAGAAGTGGTGCTGTGGCTCAAGTGGTAGAGTGCTAGTCTTGAGCAAAAGAAGTTCAGGGACAGTGCCCAGGCCAAGTTCAAGCCCCAGGACTGCCCCCCCCCCCCAAAAAAAAAGCATTAAAGAAAGCTTTGTGCCTGGCGCCAGTGGCTCACACCTGTAATCCTAGTTTCTCAGGAGGCTGAGATCTGAGGATCATGATTCAAAGCCAGCCCAGGCTGGAAAGTCCATGAGACTTTATCTCCAATAAACCACTAGAAAGCCAGAAGTGGTGCTGTAGCTCAAGCGGTAGAGCACTCACCTTGAGCTAAAGATGAAGAGCACAGGGACAGCACCCAAGCCCAGAGTTCAACCCCCATGACTGACAAAAAAAAAAAAAAAAAAAAGCAGCTTTTTTTTTTTTTTGGTCAGTTGTGGGGCTTGAACTTTGAGCCACAGCACCACTTCTGGAGATAAGAGTCTCAGGGAGACTTTTCTGCCCAGGATGACCTGGAACTGAGATCCTCAGATCTCAGCCTTCTGAGCAGCTAGGATTACAAGATGTGAGCCACTGGTGCCTGGCTTGATCTTCTCTTTAAAATGAAGAATGAGCCACTGGCACCCCACAGGAGATGAAGCTTTGAAAGCAACCATTCCACCCAAGCTAACTGGGGGATGCTGTCATACCCCGCCCTTACACATGACTTGAGACACAACAACAGGACAATGGTATTTTTATTTACAATTAGACCAAAAAAAGGCATACAGGCATTTTTCTTTAATTAAAAATAATGATGATTTAAAAAGTCAAAAAAATCGACAATGGTTGAACCCTTGGAAGAGTCCCATTTCCTCACTCCCTCCCAAAAGAATCTCTTAGGGAAAATATTCAAAATTTGAATGAACAAAAGACTCCTGATCATTCTCTACTGTTTGGGTCCCCTTCTCTCCAACCTGATTCATGGTGGGTGCTGCCTGGTGCTGAGGAGTCACTGTGAGGGGAGACTGAGTTCACTGGTTCGACTCTCGGCACTGGAGCTGGCCTGGCCCCCAGTAGACCGGGGCAGCGAGGGCTGGGTGCATTTTAAGCATCACCAGCATCCTGAGTTATCTCACAGTGGGGTCCCAAAGGACTCAAACCCCAATCTCACGTTAGATTTGGTCTCTTGCAATGTAAGAGTAAATGTCTGTGACTTGCGCGGGGTAGGCAGGAGTGGGAAGAGCTGGGGGCTTGTAGAGGCACCAGGCCGGCTACGTGACCACCTCTTTCCAGCCTGAAGACCCTGGGGAAGGAACAATCAAACTTACCTTCATCTTCCTCTCACAGCAGTTTTCTGGGTAGCCTCAAAAGAATTAGGGTGGGAGGTGGTGGGGTTGGGTCTGGCTAGAAGAACTGAGAAATGCTGAGTCCGGGGTATGTCAGGGAAGAGTGTGTCCTTCCCAGACACCTAAAGGAGGGGATCTGAGGACCCGAGGCCTCCTCCTTCTGCCCTGGAAGTGGGGCAGGAGGAGGTCTGCCACCAGCTCACTTTGACAGAGTGGCACCCCCAAGTAAAGGATGGGGGCGGGGGAAGGAAGTAATCCTGAAGGGCAAGTACTCTAGCAGCCTCAGCCACCCCTTCCCTGACAGACATGTGGACACTTGGGTCTGCAGATACTTGGCCCCAGGTCCAGGGTTTCTTGGCACAAGAACAGTTCATTGCAGGACTCTTCTCTTCCTCTTCACTGGTTAACAGACTCCAGCTGCTCTGCTCAGGGAGCGTCCTGCTGTCCTAAAGAACCTCAGCCAGCACTTCCCAAGACCTCCTTGTAGCAACCAAGGCCTCAGCTTGCTCCTGGTGAGAGGATGAGTGGAGGCACAGCCGGGGGAGAGGGAGGGAGAGGGTCTGGCGGAGGCTGGTTGGCACCGAGGGCGCTGTCCAGGTTAGGCCTGTGTTATGTCTCGGCATTGGCGGTGAGGCTGGGCAGCGAAAGGCTCAGAACCCTTACTTCTGGCCCCCGTGTTTCCTTTTCCAGTTAGTGGTAGGATGGCCAACAGCCCTGAGGAACTGGGGTAGAGACAGTGACCAAAAACCAATATCTTGGTGGATTTATCCATCCTGGATCCATTTGCTTTAAAAAAACAGTAACAGCAACAAAAATGAACGAAGGAAATAAAACCTCCAACCAAAAATAAACCTGAATAAACAGGTCAGAGAGCTCTTAGCGGAGGGAATTTTTTTTAGCACTGAAGAAAAAAAAAAAAAAAAAAAGGGAAAAGACTCCCACAAAACAAAACAAAAACAAAATAAAAACTCATCCCTCACAGAATTGGAATAAGATGAAGAAAAATGTAAGGTTTATCTAAAGGCCTCCCCACCCCCACGCAGCCCCAGGATCCAGGAACACCGTGCCAGGAGTTGCATTCCAAATGAGCAGGAGTATTTTATTTCGTGTGCCTGCAGTTCCCCCACGCAGGGTGGCTTCCTGTCCGAGGACATTGCGGGCCTGGCCATGGTCCACCCGTCAGTCAATCTTCACAGCAGCATAAATCTTGCGGACAAACATGTAGGCTGCATAGAAGCCAATGGTGCCCGTGAGCAGCCAGAAGGACAAGACCATGAGGGCCGTGTAGCCAAAGTAGAGGAGAGATGGGATGAACTCGACGATGTCCAGCTGGGGCAAGGACAGAGAGAATGGAGGAGTGCTTTAGTGACAGGCAGCCACAGCTAACTGGGGTCCTTACTCTCACCCTCATCTTGTGCTGAAATGGCCACCTGGCCAGGGATGGGGCCAGCTGAACCCTCATTTGCACCAGAGCCTTGAATCCTGGGACTCTCAAGAGGCCAGGTAAGAACACCACAGGCAAGAATGGTCACGGTTGTGCCACTGCCTGGTCCTTCACAGTCCCCAACAACTCTGGATGGCTGGGACAGCAGCCAGGGAGTGGGGAGGGATGTTCTAGGAGAATTATCTAACATTTCCTTTTTTCTTTTTTTTTTTTTGGGTCCGGTCATGGGGCCTGAACTCTGGGCCTGGGCGCTGTCACTCAGCTCTTCAGCTCAAGGCTAGCGCTCTACCACTTGAGCCACAGCACCACTTCCGGCTTTTTTCTTTTTGCTTATGTGGTGCTGAGGAATCGAACCCAGGGCTTCGAGCATGCAAGGCAAGCGCTCTACCACTGAGCCACCTTCCCAGCCCTAGCATTTCCATCTTAAGGACAAAGAGTCTTTACCAGTTTGCCTCAACCTTCATTCCTCTCCTCAAGCAAGCTGGTCACCTATGTAAACATTTCACAATGACCTTCCCTTCCCCATCTTCTTCTGTTTTCCTCCCTTCTCTCCTCTCCCTTCCCCTCCCTCTCTAGTCATTCCCTCCACCCCCAACCCATTCCAGCCTAAGGCTTGACTAAGGGCCTGATCTTTTTTTTGCTGAAGGCTAGAGTTCTACCACTTGAGCCAGAGCTCCACTTTTGGCTTTTTTGGTGCTTAATCAGAGATAGGAGTTTCATGAACTTTCGTACTCAGGCTGGCTATGAACTGCAATTCTCAGATCTCAGCCTCCTGAGTAGCTAGGAATATAGGCGTGAGCCACTGGCACCCAGATTCACGGTAACTTTCATCTTGGAGGATGTCAGCATCCTCTGTGACTGGGGTAGAGTTTGAAGGTCTGGGAAGAGGTATTAGGGAATCTGTGTGATGGTACTGTTAGCAGAGACTGAAATCTGGAACTGTGGTATCAAAATACACCCAGGGTGCCAGGTTTGAGTGACATCTAGGGCTCATGGACAGATGCATGGCTACAAAATGCCAGGAGCCAGCAGAAAATAAGAAGTAAAAAACAGAAACAGACCTTCTAAGTCACCTCGTCAAGCTCCATCTCCTATCTGACCCAGAAGTATTCTTCCTTTCTTTTTTTTGTCAGTCATGAGCCTGGGTGCTGTTCCTGAGCTTTTTTGCTCAAGGCAAGTGCTCTACTACTTGAGCCACAGTGCCATTTCTGGTTTTCTACTGGTTAATTGGAGATAAGAGCTTCATAGACCTTCCTGCCAGGACTGGCTTTGAATCGTGATCCTCAGATCTCAGCCTCCTGACTAGCTAGGATTATAGGTATGAGCCACCAGCATCCAGCCCAGAAATATTTTTATGGCTACAGATAGGGTGAGGGTAACAGGGACCTGGGCAAGGTGGGAGGGATGGGCACTGGTCAAACCAGGAAAGGGATGAGCAAAATGCAGGCTGGAAGGGCCCTAGATTTATACTGTGGCTGGAAGAATGGGTGCTTAGACAGAGAAGGCAGAGTAGGGCAGGAGGAGGAAGGACAGGAGGCTATGAAAAGATCTCTAGCTTTTGTCCAACATAGTTTCCTGTCTTCCCTCCTCCAAGAGTTCTGAGAAACACTCTTGCTATCTTGTTCAGCTGGGGACGTTGATTGTAGTACAAAACCTAAGCTGTAAGTGGGGATGGGAGGGAAAAAGTGAGAGAGAGCGAGGGAAGAGGTGACACTGTCAAAAAGGAAATGTATTTATCTGACATGTAACTGTAACCCTCTATATACCACCTTTATAAAGCAGGTCAATCAATGCACAGTATTCTGCTGGGCTGGATAAATCTGAACAATGGGCATATAACCTCAGCAGAGCCAATGTAGTCTTCCCTGGAATAAATATGCAATGGCAGAAGACCTTTTTTTTTTTTTGGTGCTGGTCATGGGGGTTGAACTTAGGATCTGGGCTCTGTACCTGACCTTTTTTTTTGTTTACAGTTATAGTGCTCTACCACTTGAGCCACAGCTCTGCTTCTGGCTTTTTTGGTAGTTTATTGGAGGTAAGAGTCTCATGGGCTTTCCTGCCCAGGCTGGCTTTGAATCATGATCTCAGCTTCCTGAGTAGCTAGGATGACAGGAGTGAGCCACTGGCACTCTGTTAAAAAGACCTTTTACTCTGAGGCTTCTAATGGCCATCTTCCCACCTTGTGGAAAGATCCTAGTTGCAGACTGAAGCCAAAAGAGACATACAGATTAAGGTGTGAGCACAGAGCTCTGATATTTTTCAGATCCTGGATCTAATAACACCTGAAGCTAGAGCAGCAATTCACACTCACTGTAGAGATTAGATTTACCCTAAGAATCCTAGAAATAGGACTAAAGTCTGCTAGGTGCTGGTGGTTCACACCTGTAATCATAGCTACTTAGGGTAGAAAAGTCTGTGAGATTCTTATCTCCAAAATAGCCAGTAAAGCAAGGTGCTGGTGGCTCACGCCTATAATCCTAGCTACTCTGGAGACTGTAATAGGAAGATTATGATCAAGTCAGCTTAGGCAGAAAAGTATATGAAACACCTAACTCCCAATTAACCACTAAAAAGCCTAAGTGGAGCTGTGGCTTAAGTGGTAGAGCACCAGTTTTAAGTGAAAAAGCTAAAGGACCCGGAGATGCTGTTTTTTTTTTCCCCCCAGCATCCTTGTTGCCAAGCCACCTGAGGGGACTGAGGAGATCCCCTAAAGAGAGTGGTACCTTGTTAACAAAGTAAAAGATGGCATAGACCAGGACGTAGAATGCAGATCCCCCGGATACAAGGAAATTCCTCCACCACCAGCGGTAATCCTGAGGAAGAAGGGAAGGAAGAGTGACCTCAAGTCTCCAAGGCCTTTACCCACCATGTTTTCCAGATCTATAGAATCATAGATGAAAGATAACTTTTATTGTTTATAAATTATACCTGACAAAAAAACACTCATCAGAAAAAAGTAGTAAGAATGTGTTTTCATGAGCCAATGCTTACCATATGTCAGGCACTGTTCTGAGTGCTGTATATGAATTGGCTCATTTAGTACCTGAAGCAGCCTCCCAGTAGGTATGTAACTGTCCCTGTCATGCTGGGACACAGCAGCAGGCACGGAGGCTGCTGGTCTTTCCCACTCTGCAAGAACTAGGCCTAGAAGCAAGGTAGGCCTCCACTCTGTACCTGCCAGTTAAGAGAAACTACTGGAGTGGACTCAATACTGAAGGTCCTACTGTCCTTCACTGAGCTGTGGTGACTGTCCCATACAACCCAAGCGGCGGTAGGTATCATCTACCAGTGTGCAAATGAGACCCAGCAGTTTGGAGAAACACATGACCCACAGAACCCAGACATAGGCTTTGCATAGCTCTACCAACCTGTTCAGTGCTAAATCCAGCCACTCCAGCCCACCCCTTCCCTCTTCCCCTCACCTCTGCACATAGCTGGAAATACACCATGACGATGCTGATTTGTGAACAGGACACCACCAGGATGATGAAAACGAGGAACAGGAAGCCAAAGAGGTAATAGAACTGATTTTCCCAGATGGCCTGTGAATACACCAACGTGGTCTTCAGCTGGTCTGCCTCAGCTCAACTGTCCCTCCCCTGAGGCAGGAATGGAGATGCCAGCATGGCACTATTGGGTCTGGCATGGGAGCAGCGGAAGAGCCAGGTTACTCTTAGGAAGTGCTCTGGGTGATCATGCTCTGGGTAGGTCCTGGTCTAAATCTGCCAGCATGAACAGCGGCCACCACCTCTCAGGAGCTTACCCATGCCAGCCAGGGGCTATGCTATACCGCAGGTGAGCTATGCAAGCTTGGCCTTTTATTTTATTTTGGTGGTCCTGGGGTTCTGACTTGGGATCTTGCACTCACTAGGCAGGTATTCCTCAGGAAGGGTAGACATTTGTAGAGTGCTGACTTGGAGCATGGCACCACTAGTGCAGGGCATGTGGCTGAGTCAGCTAGACCTACATGAAGCTGGCATCTTCCTGCTGGCTTTCACATGGGCACTTTCAGACAGAAGCACTCCTGGTCACCATAGCAGCATTTACTAAATGCCAAGAGCCTTTGCATTTGCTCTAGCTTGGCATCCTGGGAATGTTTCCGCCTACTTACCTCAAGTTTTGGATAATGTTGACAGGTAAAGACAGGAAAGGACCCAGAAATGGAAGCAGATGGAACAATGCTATCAATCATGCCTGCAATGATGGCAGTGACTGCCTGCAGTATCAGAGAGCAGCATCCATGTACCAGACAGGTGCACATGACATGCTCCTTTAATTCTGAATGCTGTCCCTTCAGACAGGACTGCTAACTGACTTCAGGGTGAAGAGCAGGGCTCTTGCACTTTCATAGGCAGTGGGAAGGAGAGGAGGCCTGTGGAGCCGCATAAGTGGAGGGGGAGGGTAGACAGCAGTGTACTTACACTAAAGATGAAAAACAGCTCAATGAACATGGCACCAAAGGGCAGGATTCCAGCCATGAGGATGCTGCAGCAGAGAATGAGAGTTAATAGTGCTCAAGTCCTGGCCACAAGGAAGCCAGGTTCCCTCCCAAGACTACACAGGTGGTGATCTCTGTCTTTTCCATGCTGTGCTACTATGACAACCTTGCGAGAGGTTGGCCTCTTTCTCCTCAGTTCATAAGATGAGAACTGAGGTAGAGAGGGTGGGTGGCCTTAACCTGTGTTATCAGGCCCTTTGTCCCTCCCCTTCCCTGTCCTGGTTCATATGACAACACCACGTCTAGCTGCAGCCTGGCCCCATTCATTAGGCCACCTTGCATAATGTCTACTAGTGTACGTGCTGCTGACCGTTGGGCACTGGCTACTTCACCCTGGGGGAGAGGCCCTCTCCCATGGCCTCCCCAGCAAGTGGCTTAGAGTGCTGGTGTCGCCCACCCCACAGGCCCTCCTTCTGCTCTTGCCTCTGCTAGAAGACTCACCCCACAAATCGGTTCATGTACCACCTCTGTTCAGGGATCTGCCGGGGAATCTGGTTGGTGCGTACGGGGTTGTCATATGGCTGCTTGCGAAAGCCAAAGTAGTAGCCCAAGTAGACGAGGGGCAGGGATATCCCAAACCACATGCATAGCAGAGCCACCATGGTGGGAAATGGCACCTGTAGACACAGCACTGTGAGGCCCCCACCAGGCCGATGCCCAAGATGGGGGTTAGACAGGAGGGAGGGGGACATCCTGGACTCCCAGGAAGGAGAAGCCACAAGCATGGCAGGCCACCTCAGTGGGGAAGGGGCTTCTGACTCCTCTTTGCTCAAGAGCTCCTGGTCAGAATCTGAGCCAAGAACTTCCTGTGAGGAAAGCAGGGAGTGGCTGGGGGACCATCTGTGCTCCCAGTGATGAGGGAACGCCACTTCCCAGGAGCTTGTCATCCAGGGAGCAAGGGGGAGAAAAGGAAAGCAAAGGACTGAGAACCTGAAGGGAACACAAAGGGAAGGAAATGACATGTAATCCACTAAGTGAAGAGAAAAAGGGAAGTAACAAGACTGTACAAAGTGATTCCAGTCCCTTCAAAACACCACCACAATACACTTCTAAGTGAGAAAAGCAGGTTATAACACTGTACATTTAAGACTTCACTTCAGTAAGAATATAGTATTTATATGGATCTGTGTCGAGAAAGGTCTATACCAAAAAAGTTTAACAGTATTTTTCCTAATGTGTGAGGATTGATTTTTCACGTTCTTTCTCATCTTCTGTTGTGATTATTAAGTTGTTATAAAATTCATGCAAAGCTAGGTACTGATGACTTGTGCCTGTAATCTTAGCTACTCAAGAGGCTCAGATCTGAGGACCACGGTTTGAAGCCAGTCTAGGCAGGAAAGTACATAAGACCCCTATCTTCAATTAACCATCAAAAAGCTGGAAGTGGAGCTTTGGCTCAAGCACTAGAGTATCAGCCTTGAGTATAAAAGCTCAGGGACAGCTCCTAGGCCCTAAATTCGTTATAGGACACACACACACACACACACACACACACACACACACACACACACACGCCCAATATTATTACAAGTACCATGTGTTTATAATTCAGCCTTGAGTATAAAAGCTCAGGGACAGCTCCTAGGCCCTAAATTCGTTATAGGACACACACACACACACACACACACACACACACACACACACACACACACACACACACACACACACACACACACACACACACACACACACACACACCCAATATTTATTACAAGTACCATGTGTTTATAATTCTGCTTTAAATTATATAATTCGATTTTATTTATTATTTATTATTTTTTATTTATTTATTTTGGGTCCAGTCGTGGGGCCTGAACTCTGGCCCTGGGTGCTGTCCCTCAGCTTTTCAGCTCAGGCTAGCACTCTACCACTTGAGCCACAGCGCCACTTCCGGCTTTTTTCTTTTTGTTTATGTGGTGCTGAGGAATTGAACCCAGGGACTCAGGCATGCAAGGCAAGCGCTTTTTATTATTATTATTTTTTTGTTGGTTGTGGGGCTTGAACTCTGGGCCTGGGCACTGTCCCTCAGCTCTTAAGCTCAAGGTCAGTGCTCTACCACTTGACCCATAGCACCACTTCTGGCCTTTTGTTTATGTGGTGCTGAGGAATCGAACCCAGGGCCTCAGGCATATGAGGCAAGAACTCTACCGCTGAGCCACCTTCCTAGCCCATAATTCCATTTTAAATATATCTATTAAAAAGTTTGAAAGAACATGTATTAAAGATTTCTATAGTATTTGTCTGGGTGGTTGGACTGTAGGTTATTTTGAATTTCTAAACTCCTTTGTACTTTCCAAAATTTCTATGAGTGTTAGAATGCACAACTGGTAGCTAGGAGGAAAAAGCTGAAGCGAGGAGGAACACAGGTATAAAAGAGGAAGTGAGAGGACGATTAGTTTCTCTTCCTTCAAAGGCTTCCTAAGCCTCCCTGGGACTCAATTTGAACCTCACCCAGGGACCCTAGGGATGGGGCAGGTGGTTCTGCATGCTGGGGTGCAAATGCCTGTCCCACCTCTACCACAGCGCTAATTAACTAAGACCCCATTCTCCCCACCCATCCCACTGAGGCAGTTGCTGGCAACAGTGCCTGGGACTGGCAAGTTGCCTACTCTCAGAGCCATGTGCCTCTTCCCATCTTCTCCTTCCACCTACAGGGGCTGGTTGCTGAGGGCAGACACTAGGAGCAAAGCCCTGTTATAGGACACTGGCCCAATTTACTTGCACCTAGCAGCTCTCGCCTGATGAGATAGGGGAATTCCCCAGCTGAGCCCTGGCCTATGGAAACCGCCCTTTCAAGAAGTGAACTTTGGCCAGCTGTCCACAGAGAGACCAGGGACAGGCACTGGTGACAATGGGCAATGCTGGGGAAACCCCAGCCAACCTTCAACCCCCAAGGTTGGGAATAGAACTTTGGGAACTTAGAAAAGGGAAGAAACAGCAGGAAGTGACCTTGGGGAACAGGGCTAGACACCATTGGCCTTCTGTACTGGGGAAGGACTGGAAGGTGGAGGAGGGGCACTTACCGCTCCTGACGAGTGCTTTCCCCAGATGAAGCAATTCAGTATAAAGCAAATGCCAAAAACCACTCCAGGGTACAGGGTCGCCGTCTGGGAGCAAGAGGAGCCAGGTTGGGGAGTGTACTTTGGGAGTTCCTTGGGACCCAATGGAGCTCCCCCACCACAGGCTTCAACTGGTCCTGGTCCTTTAGAACATAGCTCAATCTCAATTCCTTCTCTCGCCCAGAGGTAGGCCTGCAAAGGCCTCTCAGATCCCTGGAGCTGCTGCTTCCTTGCTTTCAAGCCACCATAATTATAGAAAAGTTCTACTTAAGGTTTTTGGCCCCCAAGTAACAGCATTTAGCAGAACCATACTATGATGTGGGATAGCTGGGGTGTACTAAATACGTTTTCAACTCTGGATAGATACTATCAACTCAGGTTGGGGTCATTTGCTTTTCTCCAAAAGATGTAGTCCCATCACTCAGAATGTCATAGCAACTAAATAACAGTTGCTGAATACATGACTAAAAGGCTTCAATCCAAACCATCTAGAGTAATGCTCAAATATTAGGGATGGCAAATGGCAGGCTTTACATGTCCCATCTAACCCTCACTGTAGGTTTAGAAATGGACTAATAGCCCCTTTTCTTACTTTTTCATTTTTTGCAATACTAGGATTTGAACTGAAGGGCCTGTGCTTGCTAGCCAAATGCTCTACCACTTAAGCCATTCCTTTAGCCCACATTATCTCTTTTAAAGATGAGGGTATTGGCCAGGAGTGGGTGGCTCATGTTTATAATGCTAGCTTCTCAAGAAGCTGAGATATGAGGATCATGGTTTGAAGCCAGCCCAGATAAGAAAATCCATGAGACTCTTATCTCCAATTAACCACCAGAAAACTGGAAGTGGTACTGTGGTTCAAGTGGTAGTGTGCTCACCTTGAGCTGAAGAGCTCAAGGCTAATGTGCAGGCCATGAATTCAAGCCTCAGGATTGGTAGCAAAAAAACAAAAAGAAAGAAAGATGAAGGCACTAAGGCTCTTTTCCTCCCCCACATTTGTTAAGGGTAAATCCAGGAAGGCTAAGACTCTAGAGCCCATGTTCTGGGAGCAAGAGGGGACAGGTTGGGAAGCTGCACTTGAGTGGATCCGGAGGACCCTTCGGGGCTCCCACATCAGAGACTTCAAACCCATCCAGCTTAAGTACAATTCCTTCCCTAACCCAGAATCAGAGGTTCTCATCAAAACCAGAGATCCTCAAGTCAGAATCTCTGGGACATGGATCTGAGCACAAGAAACCAAAGCTCTAGACTTATACTTGAGTCCACACTGGGACTACCAGGCTTAGAGATTGCTGTCACACCATAATGACAACAGATCTCAAGTTTTTTTTGAGCAATCGAGCACTCAGCCTCTACTGCCAGTTCCATCTTTGGGATGCCAAAGATGCCCTTCCTACCAACACTTGGTGATTGTTCTATCCCAAGGTTTCCTGAGTGCCCATGCTGTACCATGGGCCTTACGTACAGTCTCTCCATCCATATAATCCTAAAAGCAGATAACCCCATTGGAGACAGGTAAGAAATATGTAGGTCCAGGACTGGGTCTGGACAATTCCCCAACCCAAGCATTCTCTTCTGGCTGTTTCTCCATGCTCCAATGTCAATTCATCCCATCCTATATTCTATTCTTCACCCTGATGTGGAGCAGGAATTCCTCATATGCCTTTCTGGTTGAAATTTATGATCTAGACACTATCAGAAATGAAGTCTATTTATTAATAAAGGAAAAAGCTCCAGGGAGAAGGGGCTCAGGACTCCTTGAGGGGAGGGAAGGACAGCAGCTTATCTTTCCTAGAGAGCAAAAGGGCCATCAAATCTGGAAAACAGTACACAATTCTCTCTATACTGTTAGCAGAGTGTTCTCCTGTGTCAAGTTGACGGAAATTCTGCATCCTTGTATTCTTTTGCTCGAGCCATCCAACTATCAAGGCTTAAAATACCTAAGTTTAATGCTTTCTGCTTATAGACAGGGCAAGTAGGGCCCTGTGATGCCTTGTTTGTAGCCTATGGGTAAGGGCCCAAAATGGCTGGCCCTCGGCCTAAGCCCTTCCTGCTGTCACACCACCATTCAGCTTCCACTAGCACCCAGGGCCACTCCTGAGAGGCCCAGGACAAAAGCCTCTCAGGCTCCAATGACACTGGGAGAAGATCAGGATACTTACACAGAAGGCTCCTTTTTTCCACCGATGGCCTTTTAGAGTGCGATAGAGTCGGCCAGCAGAAAATCCACCAAACACCCTGTGGGAAAAGGCAAGGTCCATACCAAGGAGCAGTTAGTGGCATGAAGCAGGTTTGGCTGGCTTCTGGGAGCTTGCTCACATACACCTACCCCATGAACATGAAGAGGAAGCAGGCTGTGGTCATGAGTGCTCCTCGGCTGGAGGGTGACAGCATCCCAAGCATGGCCACAACTGCGGAGGGAGGGAAGGCAGAGTCAGAGGGGCTGATTGCCAGGGCATCAGCTCCCACAAGAGTGGGGGAAGGCTAACAGGCCCCTGGGCAGATGAGCCTAGATAAGGCTTCCTTTCCCCTTGGTCTTCTCAATGACACAGGCCCTTACCCTCTACAGGAAAAGACTGGGTGTCCTAGCTGAGGCTCAGGGGGTGCAGTAGCTGCTAGGTATGGGCTGGATGAATCTTCTGTGTCAGTCCTGGTGCTTGAACTCAGGACCTAGGTGCTGTCCCTGAACTTCTTTTGCTCAAGGCTAGTGCTCTTCACACTTGAGCCACATTTCCACTTCTGTCTTTTGGTAGTTAATTGGAGAAAAGAGTGTCATGGAATTCCTTCCCAGGCTGGCTTCAAACCAAGATCCTCAGATCTCAGCCTTCTGAGTAGCTAGAATTATAGGTGTGAGCCACTGGCACCTGGCCTGCAGCTGCCAGTCCACAGAAAACTTGCAATGAGTCAGGCCCATTCTGAGAACACTAAATACCAGCTCAGTGAACATGTCTTATCAACTCTGCAAGGCAGAGATTATTTTTTCCATATGGAAACTGGGCCTACAAGGTTAAGTAAGTGCCTGTCAAAGGTTACAGAGCTTAGAGATGGAGATACAAATTTAGGTAGACTGACTCTAGAGCTATCTGTAACTCATTCCTATATGAGTGTTTTATCATTGTAAAAGAAAAACAAAACAAAAGATATAAGTCCAATCTTGACCCTGGTTCTAGGTCAGTTACTTCACCTGACTGAAACCAAGAGCAATCTCTACGTACTGATGTGCTGCTTTCCTGATGGAGTAACACGGTATGCTTGAAACAGAGCTGGACAGCTGTAAGGAAAACCACTATTCCCAGGTTCTGGGGCTGGGACAGCTGTCTTCCCAGAGATGATGGCATGCCTGCTTGATGCTTAGTCCTTGGGAGCCCTCTCCTCTACTAAAGGCACTTGGGGAGGGGGCCATGCCTCGGAATCAGGCCTTGTTCCTATGGGCTCAATATTCGGCTCTCTGGGTCCACTCACAGATGACGATGAGGATCATACAGAACAGCTGAATGCCTGAACCCAACAGGGAGCTGAGGATCATGGGGTACTGAGGTGGCCGGAAGACGTCACCATGCACAAGCTTCCACCCAGATTCCTCCATGGTATCTTCCTGCAGCAAAAGGTGAAGAATGTAGCAGGTGCATGAGAAAAGGGCAGCTACCTCAGGGATATTCCCATCAAATCAGGTCTCCTGATCCCACTGAGGGCCCCTCAACTATCCATTAGTTCCAGCCCTGACACAGAAGTGTAAGTGATATGAGACAGTGCTTCTGAGAGAACTGTCACCTGGTGGGAAGAGGTCAAACAGGATGCGCATATCTGCATAAAAGGAAAATCTCTCCAATTCCGCAAACCTACTATATGGAAAAAATTATGCAAGGGTTGGGAATATGATTTAGTGGTAGAGTGCTTGCCCGGCATTCATGAAGCCTTGGGCTCAATTCCTCAGTACCACATGAACAGAAAAAGCTGGAAGTGGTGCTGTGGCTCAAGTGGTAGAATGCCAGCCTTGAGCAAAAGAAGCTTGACAGTGCCCACCCTGCTCTGAGTTCAAGACCCAGTAGTGGCACCAAAAAAAAAAGAGAGAGGTCAATATGGGCTTTATGATAAGACTCTGCCTCACGTATAGACAAATAATAACAACAAAACAAACACAAAAATATAGTTTTAAAAAAGGACTTAAGTAATGTTTACACATTTCCTTTAGTTCTCTCTGCCTCTCTCTCTAGTGTGCCAGTTCTGAGGCTTGAACTTGGAGCCTAAGTGCTCTCCCAAAACTTCATTTTACCCAAGGCTACTGCTCTACCACTTGAACCAGAGCTCCATTTTTAGTTTTATTGGAAATGAGTCCCACAGACTTTCCTACCTGGGCTGGCTTCAAACCATGATCCTCAGATCTCAGCCTCCTGAGCCACTGGGACCCAAATTTTATAATAAAATTGTGATCCCACTATGTATTTTGTTATTTTCAGATGGTATTTGCAAACATTTCATGCTAATAAATACTCTTTGAAATTAAACTTCAAAACTGCAATATCCTAGACCAAGTCATTTGTATTTTTGATTCTTAAGAATTACTGTGCCATAGAAAGTTACCTAATTTACAGTTTGGGGAGATGCACTACACTGTCAATTTCTTTTCAGAAAACTGCCAACTGATAGGAATATGCTTGTTACATGTTAAACTTGCCAACAATTAATACTATTAAAAACAAAACAGTGTGTATGTGGCTCAAGTGATAGAACACTTGTCTAGCAATCTCTAGGTCCTAAGTTCAACCCCCCAGTGCTGCCAAAATAAAACCACTCTTGGCTGGGTATGGTAATGAAAACCTGTGTCCCAGCACTTAAGAGGCTGAAGCAAGGGCATGTCAAGTTTTAGGCCATGTCTCAACTTAAAAAAAAAAAAAGTCTGTGCTAATTTGATGATATAATCATCTTCTCATGATTGTTTGAATTCTCATTTTGGGAGCTATCTCTGAGGTAAAAACAATTCTTCCCAAGCACTGGGGCTCCTGCTTATAATCTCAGCTACTCAGAGGCTGAGATCTAAGGATCATCAAAACCAACCTTCAGGTATATGCCAAGATCTAGTTTAAGATTTGTTTTTTTTGTCATTGGGCCCTGAACTGTTTTTGCTCAAGGCTAGGGCTCTACCACTTTGAGCCACGATGCCACTTCTGGTTTAACTGGAGGTAAAAGTCTCATGGACTTTTCTGCCTGGACTAGTTTCAAACCATGAGACTCAGATCTCAGCCTCCTGAGTAGGATTACAGACATGAGCCTGTAATTTTTTTTTTTTTGTCAGTCGTGGGGCTTGAACTCTGGGCCTGAGTGTTGTCCCTCAGCTCTTTAGCTCAAGGCGAGCGCTCTACCACTTGAGCTATAGCGCAACTTCCAGTTTTCTGGTGGTTTATTGGAGATAAGAGTTTCATGGACTTTCCTGCTGGGCTGGCTTTGAACCGTGATCCTCAGATCTCAGCCTCCTGAGTAGCTAGGATTACAGCATGAACCACCAGTGCCTGGCTGGCTTAAGATTTTTAAATGTAAAATTAATCAAGTTTCTTCTTGTGACTTTTTCCATTGTCTTTATACTTTAAAATTAGAAACCCTCAACACTGTAGTAAGTGGATTTGATTTTTTTCTCCATTATTATTATTATAATATTTGCAGCAGTGGGATTTGAACTAAAAGTTTGCTAGGCAGACTCGCCATCACTTGAGGCATGCTCCCAGATGTTTTTGTTCTGTTTTCTTTTTTTCCCCCCTCCAGGTCCTAGGGTAAATCTGGGCCTGGGTGCTGAATTTCTTTTTGCTCAAGGCTAGTGCCCTACCACTTGAGCCTAGCTTCACTTCTGGCCTTTTCTTTCCCCTGAAGGTCATGGGGCTTGAACTCTAGGCCTAGGTGCTGTCTCTGAGCAATTCAACTCAAGGCGAGAGCTCTACCACTTGAGCTACAGTGCCACTTCCGGTTTTCTGGTGGTTAATTGGAGATAAAATCTCAGACTTTCCTGCCCAGGATGGCTCTGAACTGCAATCCTCAGATATCAGTCTCCTGAGTGGATAGGATTACAGGCGTGAGCCACTGGCACCCACCAACCTCCAGCTTTTTCTGAGTAGTTTATTGGAGGTAAGAGTCTCATGGACTTTATTGCCCAGGCTAGCTTTGAACCACAATCCTCAGATCTCAGCCTCCTACAGGTGTGAGCCACTGGCACCTGGTTCTGGTTATTTTTGAGAGAAGGTTTCACTTTTTCCTTGGACCAGCTTTAACTGTAATTCCCTACTTATGCTTCCCGTGTATGATGACAAGCAGGTATCATTATGCCCAGATTTTTCTGTTGGGAGGGTATCTTGCTAACTGTTCAGGCTGGCCTTGAATTCTCAATCTCTGCCTCTCAAGTGGCTAGGATTACAGGCATGGGACACGGGCTCATGCCTCCTCTTCCTCTTCCCAGTCTGGCAAACTTAACACTCTACTGCTACCGTCCCTTCCTTCTTCCAGTCTATCCCTCCTCCCCAGCCAAGACCTCGTACAATGTCATCCTCCTTGTTATAGTTGGCAATGTCCTTGCGGAGGGTCCGGATGATAATCATGCTCAGAATCCCTGAAACAGACAAGGTGAGGAACAATAGTCAAGAGCATCACTAACACAGCTATCTGGATTCCAAGTGTGCCCTCCTCCTCCAAAAGGATCTGGCCATGTGACCACCTCAGCGTCTCCCTGGGCAGAGCTCCACTCCAGCCAACCAGGGAGAGGTGTATGAAGAGAAGGGTCTACAGGGATGGGTGGGGATGGGTACAAGCCTCTGCTTTTCATGTCTGGGAGGAGAGTTTCCAGTTTCTTCCATAGCCTGACTTCTAGCTACTGTAGTTCAGATTTCACAACAACCCTCTTTCATTCTGCCTTTACTCCTGCTACTCACTTTGCCAGGAACACCTTTCCTATGTGACTGCATCTCAAGATTCACCATCGGTATCTTCACCAATGAGTACCTTCAACCAGCCCAGAAACAAACCTTCCCCATTTGTCCTTTTTTTTTCTACTTCTTTTAGGCAGCAGTGCAGTGACTAAGTGAATTAGCTGTATGACCTGAACTTTTATACTCAACTCGTGGGGCTGAGGGACAGATGTTGTGTGTGTGTATATGATGGTACTAGGGCCTGGACACAATCCCTTAGCTTTTTTTGCTCAAGGCTGGTGCTCTACCCTCTGAGCCACATATCCATTTCTGACTTTTTGCTGGTTAACTGGAGATATGAGTCTTTTCTGCTCAAGATGGCTTCAAACCTCAATTCTCAGATCTTTATAAAGTGCTTAGGCAGTAGAGTGTCCGTGGATAAGTATTTAATTACAGGGGACAGTCTGTGCTTCTCATGAGTCCAGTGATCAGTATCACTCCACCTCTTCCCTCCACTCTCACCGTCCAGCTTCCTGCCAAGCTTGTCTCACAAGGCCATGACCCTTGTGGAAACAGTTTACCTGGGGTCTCTTGACTAGTGGCTCTGCCCTCGTTTGGAGAGGCCTACCCTAAAGTAGCCCTCCTTCCCACTTTATCTTAAATACCACTACTTATTTGCTGTTTTGTTCCCTTCCACTGTTAGTTTAGCTGACCTATTTAACACCATATCTCTGACTTCTGGCACAGGTCAAGTAATAATTTGTCATTGAACAAATCAATGACTGAGTATGGACAGCACTGTCTATCCAGAGCAGAGACTATCTCCTGATCATCTCTGCACTCCTGAGAGCTAGCTCGATGCCCTGCTGTCATTTTCTGACCCACGTTTGGCCATGAGAACACTTAAGAGAAGGGATGCCTCAGTCCCTTACTCTCCATCCCATCCTCTCCACCTTCAAGCACAGCGCTCTCACCTGACAGGAAGAAGACCACCACAACGGAGTTAATGATAGAAAACCAGTGGATCTGCACGTCACTCATGGTCAGGTAAGTGTCCCAGCGAGAGGCCCATTTGATGTCACTTTCCTAGCAGGCAGGAAGAAGCACTTAGTTAGGCCTTCTGCCCTGGAATCCTGGCCCGGACCCTTGCCGAGAATTCATGCCCCTTCTCACCTCCCAGTGCACAGAGTAGGTAAAGTATAGCTGATTCTCCTTGGTAGGGTCAATTTCTTGGGGTGAGGAGTTGGTACCCTCAGGCAGGGTACATGAACTCTTTTCATCTGCTTTGAGGTCTGTGAGAGACAGAGACTGTTCTTGTGGCCATTACCACTCCCAAGTGTTCTCCTTCTGGTGTCCTTAAGGCTTCCTGCTGTGGGACTGGGCCTCCAGTGTCTGGAGGCTGGGAGCGCAGCAGTCAACTGTGATTTTTATGGTGATATTCCCAAAGTTCTGACCTCCCAAAGGGCCTTTGGGGCTGCAGAGAGGCAGGTGCACAGGGACTCTAAGTGCCATCTTTACACCAGTCTACAATTGGTGCAAACATCCATTCATTCATTCACTCAGGCCCATTCCATACACACCAAAATGGTGCCTCACTACCACATTTGCTTACTGCCTACTCTGAAATCATCACTTAGTAATACACTCACTCAGATATGTTCCCCTTTCATTTGTTCATTCTGTCACCCATCTCTTATTCCACAAAGGCATCTATACATCCATTCAGCCTTTCACTCAGTGCCCAGTACTGTGCTGGATGCTGGAGATCTGTAATCTCAATAAGCCATTGCACAGAGACCTCAAATCATTCCATACATAGATGTAAAACCATATACTCACAGAGAGAGAGTGAGCCAGTATGATGCTCTGAAAGAACAGGATCTACATTTTATGAGACTTTTACAAATTACTTTGTTTGAAAGCCACATTCTAGAACTTTTCAAAAAGTCACCTCCTACCCCTCCATGGACCTAAGTTCAGGTCTGTTCTGCAGCTCAAGTACAACCTATGGTGTGTTAGTACTGATGTGCGAGGTAAAACTGCACCTATTCACTTGGGGCCAATCAGCACCGGGCTCTCAGACTCCTGTTGATCCTCAGCAACTGTAGCCTGTGCCAATCATTCATTCACAGAGGGAAAAAGAAGAAATAAATCATTGCTCTATGCTGTTTTCTGTACCCTTGCTCCTGGTTCTTCAACCCACAGATGAACTGGCTGCTTCCTATGTGTTTGGCCAAGTCACCAGCGTACCTTCTGAGGTTGCTGGGAAGAGGTGAACTGGTAAGGGGTCCTGCTCACTACAGAGCACATGACAATTGTCCCTCACCTCCATCTTTGCTACTGAGAATATATGCATGACCTCTCTGTGGCTGAGGTGAAAAGCATGCCCCACCCTGAGTGTGGAGGCCCAGGCCCATCCAGCCCTGCCCCTCTGGTCAGACCTCCCCACTCACCCTCCAGCCTGATGCTCTGGGGAATCACCTCGAAGCGGACGACACGGTACGTGTGTTCCTGATCCTCTTCCATGTCTTCCCGGTGATAGTAAAGGATGAACGAGAGGTGGTTGTGTAGGTAAATCTAGAGAGAAGCAATAAAGAGAACAAAACAGCTAGCAGTGAGGAAACAGTTTATCAGGGAAACCATCCTAGGCATCAGAGTGCACCTTGGCCTGGTTACATTAATCTTCCACAATCTCTGCCTTCTCCTGAAGGGCTCCAGCTAGGGCTTCCTAGGCCTTTGCTTGTAGGCCTTCTACTCTCTGCCCTAATGTAGCTATTTGTACCACCTTCTAAAACACATGAGTGCACTCAGTCTCTCTAGCTCCTCTCTGCCCCCAGCCCTGTGCTAGGAAGGACTCTGATTTGACTGATAGATCTGGCAAAGCCAGGAAGACTTTATACATGCTGTACAAATATGGAAACATCGCTCAAGGCTGTTTAGACAACTAGCAAGTAGTAGAAGCAGGATTCAACTCAGAGAGGCCATGGCTATCTTGCACACTGATCAAGTTCCAGGTTCTTTTCTTGGTTTTATCTTATAAAAACAGAATGTAATATTTTAGCAACTAAGTATTCACCTTCTTAGAGTACTGACCCAAAGCTACAGTGTTGTGAAGGACCGCCCTCCCAGAGGCACTAGGAGAAATGTGCCCTAGCTAACTCTCCCCTCGTGTTCAGGCCTAGACCTGATTGTGTCCTTTTCTCTGTGGCCCCTATGACTTGAGAGGTGTAGGGCCCCAGCCCACTGAGTGTTTCAAGGACACTCTACCTTATTGACATCTGTGAAGCCCAGCCGGTAGCCATGTTCAAACTGCACATCTTTTTCCTTCTTCTTGTCATCACTGTCACGGTTGGAGTAGAGCTCTAGCCGGGTGGCCACAGGCAGGTTGTCGGCAATGCTGTAAACCCAAGGCCCCACTTAGTCCCTCTGGACCGCCTCTCCCATCCATCCCTCCCCGGTATGAAAGCGAGGCCAGCAGGGCACAGAGGACAACTTACAGGTGGACGTAGTAATCTTCTGTGATACGCTCAGCCACCAGCCGGCTCTGCTCCACTGTCAAGGTCACTGGCTTGTTGGACTGGTTGCACAGCACTTCACATTTCTTCTCGCTGTTCATGAGAACCTGGAAAGGGGTGTTGACAATCCGGTCCCCTCTCAGCACCTCTCCTGCCATAAGAGAGACAGATGGAGCTCAGAGCTTCAGCCCTGAGTTTGCTGAGGTCAGCAGTCATGGAGCCGCCAGAGGCAGGGCAAAGTGGACTTCCACAGACATCACCAGCATTGCCCCCAGCAGACAACCCTCTGCGTCAGGTGCTTGTACCCAGCCTGCCCCTCTAACCTGCCCTATCACAGCCTTCCTTCCTTCCTTCTCTGTGCCCTAGTGCCTTTAGTGCCTGTCTCAAAACTTAACTCCTTGTATACCAGTGGGCTTTACGTGGTGGCTTTCTGTTCCATGTACTGACTGAAAGCTCAACTTCCCTTCCTCATTTCCTGGGATGCTCTTCCTGGCTTTGTCACCTTTCTGTCCTAGCCTCCCTCCACAGAGACAGATGGTGGGAGTGAGGAGAGACTGCTCTGACTTCAGGCCACCTGCTGTAGCATCTGCCCCTGCCACTTAGTACCTCAGCAGTCTTGCTCAGTCATTTACCTTCATTGAGCCTCAATTACCTACACAAAATGGGAGTTACAGGTGAGAAATAAAGGAGTCATTCAAGTCCCAGGCTCAGAGCAGAGCAGGAAGGCATCAAACACCATTTTCATTATCAGCATAAACTCTGTGCCTTTTTTTGTTTGTTTTAAAGCAGTTATACAGGAGGAGGGATTTCACACATTTACAATGTATTTCAACCAACGTCACCCCTCTAAAACTCTCTTGCCCTTCCTTTTTGGAGATGGGGTCTTGCTATATTGCCCAGGTGGGCCTTGAACTGTCAACCCTCCTGCTTCAGTCTCCAGAGTGCTGTCATTCTGTTTACCAGCCTCCAAGCCTAGGGGGAAGAAAGTGGGTTACCACATTCCACTGTCTTTTTTCTCTTTCTTGTGAGTATCATGTGTAGACCAGCTGATCTGGAACTCACTCCTTGTCTATATATGTTTTTATATGTCAGGGATGTTACTTTGTACAGTGTATTTATATTTTTGTTTTTGGTTCCCTTACTGGCTATGAGCTCTTTGAGGGGAAACATTATTTCCTATTTATTTGTCTTCAGTTCTTAATTCAGGCAGGGAAGAGAGTGAGATCAAATCTAGAATCTAGCTGGGCATTGGTGGCTCATACCTGAAATCCTAGCTACTCCGGAGACTGAGATCTCAGAATTGTGGTTCAAAGCTATCCCAAGTAGGAAAATTCATAAGACTCTTATCTCCAACTAACCACAAAAGTTTGGTCGAAGTGGAGCTATGGCTCAAGTGGTAGATAGATTGCTATCTTGAGTGAAAAGCCCAAAGATAGCACTTAGGTCCAGAGTTCAAGCCCCAGGACTGGCAAAAAATAAAAAAATAAGGAAATAAAAAATCTAGAAAATGCACCAACACATTATGTGCTTGTCTGTTGCCTAAGATAACTTTCTGTCAGACATCACGTTCACCGGCCCAGAGCAGCTCACCAGTATCAGCTAACCCCACTGTGCTCTCATTCTGAGCCACTCAGCAACTCTGTAGTGCCAATGAGAAACTGGGACAGGCTGAAGCAGATCCACTAAGCCAACAGGCAGGACTAACACCTCCACATACATGTGGTCCAACACTTGCCTACCATACAGGATTTGCCTGCCACGGCTGTCTGCTCTGTCATCTAGTTACCTGTTCTTTCATTCATAAACATATGCTGGTACTGTCTGTGTGCCAGCCCTGAAGATAGTGCTGTGTAGACATAGTCCCAGAACTTATGGTCTAGTGGGAAGTCAGATTGATTAAATCATCAGCAAAATAGAATATACAGTATTATGCGGCTTGCTGTGGATATGAGGCATGGAGCTAGGAAAGTTTCCACAAGTTAGTGGTGTTTAAAGTGACTCTAAAGGAAGAACGGTAGTAATTTAGGCAGAGATGGGGGGAAAAGTGTCCAAAGGTCCCTCAGGGATGAAGCAATGGTGGCAAACTTGAGAGGTATGTGTGGCTGCAGAGAAGTGGGCTTGGGAATGATTAGGGTGAGCTGCAGAGATTGGGAGAGATGGGCTGGAGCCTTGTGATCAAGCCACAAATAGCTTGTCTATTGAAAGGGAGTGCCCAATAGGGGTGGGGAAGATGTTATCTAATTCTGGTTTCAGAAAGACTACTCTGGCTTCTTCGTGCAGAAAATAAATTGTGAGGAGTCAGCTAGGGCAATGACACCAGTGTCATGCAGGTGAGTGAGGATGGGGTGGGAAAGGAGTGTGTGGGTAGCTGAAGCAGAGATCCAGGAGCTACTGAGGAGGTGGGCCCTGGAAAGCTGCTGCTGGACGGGTACTAGATTAAGGGAGGATGGGTTCATATTGGGAGAATCTTAAACTTCTGTGACTAGGTTCTAGGTGGGCAAACAGGAAAAATCAAATTCAGATGGGAGGTATTTACAGTTTGGCTATGTCAAACAGGCACTTAAAACAGTAGGATATAATGCTCAGAAGAGAGATCAGGGAAGAAAGAGAATTTGGGAGTTGTTGTTATATAGATGTAGCAGGGGCACTGTTGTAGGAGCAACACTTGGTATGTAACGTAGCAGTCCTGGTGAACAATGCCTTCAGCGCAGATGAGGCCACTACGGAGGGAAGCAGGATTGAGAAGGGCCTGGATGAAGCTCTCCCCCCACCACCCCAATTTAGAGGGCAGGTAGTGAAGGTGAGTCTGCAAGGCCCTGACATAAACTGGTGAACGGACAGCTAGAACATCAACAGGACACTTGCCTAGCCTATGGCTGACAGCATCTTACAGATGACAAGCTAAGAGACACTGGTTGTGCTAAGCTCCTGGGCTCCTTCCTCGCCCTAAGTTCTACTGATCAACAAAGAGCTGGTTGGAGGAGAGGAAGGAACCACAGAGAGAGGAACAAGCTACAGAACAAGTAAAGTAATGTCACATCATGATATTTAGTAATTAAATTTAAACAGGAAAGAGGACGTACTGGCTCATTTCTAATACAGAAGTGCTCTGTCTTTTTTCTTCAGATGGGGTTTTGCCTATGTGGCAGGCTGATCTCAAACACTCCCAGCTTAGGCGATGCTCATACCTAGCCTCCTGAGTAAGGGGAATAAAAAGCCTGCCCAGGGGGCTGGAAAGGTGGCTCAGTGGTAGAGTGATCATCTTGCATGCATGAGGCCCTGGGTTCGATTCCTCAGCACCACATAAGCAGAAAAAGCCAGAAGTGGCACTGTGGTGGCTCAAGTGGTAGAGCACTAGCCTTGATCTGAAGAGCTGAGGGACAGCGCCCAGGCCCAGAGTTCAGGCCCCATGACCAACAACAACAACAACAACAACAAAAGCCTTCTCACCTCACTTGCACAAGTATTCCTTCTATCAGTGAGCCACAAGCTACGACGTGGACTGAAAGCATCCACTGTGGTGTGCTAGCACACCTGCCACAGGACTACAATGCCCATACCACGATATGAATCACCAACAATGCAATGGCCAGAACAGTGTCCACACAGTCAAATGAGCACAAAGAATGCTGGCTTTAGTCAAAAGGCCCAAGTTAAAACCTGGCCTTGTGGACAGTAGGTGGAGAAACTGCCATTCCTCTAGCATAAAGGGAGGGCAATTATGCTCAGCTGGCAGTGCTCCTGTAAGAATCAACTAGGATGCGTTATAGGGCTTTGCTTAAGGACATGGGAGTGGGAAACAAGGCTTAGACTCTGCCACTTAGTAGGTGAGTGGGCTGAGCCAAGTGCCTTTATCATCTGTGCTTCATTTTCCTTAAGAGAATTTACTGTCCTAAATTCTATACTTTTGAAACTCAGCGTCACATGGTTAACAGTGGAGAAACTGAGGTTGAGTCTTTTCTTGGAGATGACCAGGTTTGAATTCAGGGCTTCCTTCCATTTGACAGACAGATGCTCTACAACTTGAGCCACATGGCTCACGTCTTTTGCTTTAAATTTTTTTTTTTTTTTTTTTTTTGGTGTTGTACTGGGGCTTAAACTCAGGGCCTCGGAGCTGTCTTTTAGCTTTTTTTTTTTTTTCTTTTTTTTTTTATTGTAAAGATACTATACAGAGGGTTACAGTTACATGAGTGAGGTAATGAGTACACTTCCTCTTGAACATTGTTACCCCCTCCATTGTTTTCCCCCTACCATCCCCTCCCTCCCTCCTTTCCCCGAGGTTCTTTTTTTTTTTTTTTATTGTGATTACGTAATTTCAAAGTCACAAGTTCATTCTAACTTCCTTGGAGCAAATTGTCTACCACAGTCTGTAATATATAACAGTGTTCACATGTTATATACCCTATTTGTGATCAGCAGCATGGGGATATTTAGTAGTGGTTCAACCAGATGAGTGGGAGTTCTTTGTTTCTTAAGTCCTGTTAGTTTTGTCGTATCACCTAACATTTTGGATTTAGCATCCACTTATCAGGGAGACCATGTACCGTTTGTCTCTTCGTTCTTGGCTTACCTCGCTCAACATGATTCCTTCTAGCTCCATCCATTTCACTGCAAATGCCATTATTTTGTCATTTCTAATGGCTGCATAATATTCCATTGTGTATAGATACCATAATTTTTGGATCCATTCATCTGTGGTGGGGCATCTAGGTTGTTTCCATATCCTAGCTATTGCGAACAGTGCTGCAATAAACATGGAGGTGCACGTGTCCTTGTATATTGGTTCCTGTTGTTCAGGGTAGATGCCTAGAAGTGGTATGACTGGGTTGTAAGGGAGGTCAATCTTTAGCTTTCTAAGGACCCTCCAGACTGCTTTCCAAAGTGGTTGTATAAGTGTACATTCCCACCAGCAGTGTAATAGGGTTCCTCTTTCTCCACATCCCCTCCAGCATTTGTCGTTGGCTGATTTGTGGATGTGGGACATTCTGACTGGGGTAAGGTGGTATCTCAGGGTTGTCTTTATTTGCATTTCCTTCACCACCAGGGATGATGAACATTTCCTCATGTGTTTCTTTGCCATTTTTATTTCTTCATTTGAGAAGTCCCTCTTTAGTTCCCTTGCCCATTTAGTAATTGGTTTGTTAGGTTTGGGAGGGATTAGTTTCTTGAGTTCCCTGTATATACAGGACGTTAACCCCTTGTCTGATATATTGCTGGTAAATATTTTTTCCCAATTAGTTGGTTGTCTTTCTAGCTTAGTTGCGATAGATTTAGCTGTGCAGAAGCTTTTTATTTTAAGGTAGTCCCATTTGTCGAGTCTCTCTCCAACTTGTTGTGACCCTGGGACTCTGTTCAGGAAGTTCCTTCCTGTGCCTATTAGTTCAAGTGTCTCTCCTACTCTGTCCTGCAGTAGTTTCAGAGATTCAGGTTTAATGTTAAGGTCTTTAATCCATTTTGAGTTGATGTTGGTGCATGGTGATAGGCTGGGGTCCACTTTTAGTTTTCTGCATGTGGCTGCCCAGTTTTCCCAGCACCAGCGGTTGAAGAGGCTGTGTTTCTTCCATTGTATGTCTTTGGCTCCTTTGTCGAATATCAGCTGGCTGCAGGCCTGTGGATTTATTTCTGGATCTTCTATTCTGTTCCATTGGTCTTCGGGTCTGTTTTTGTGCCAGTACCATGCTGTCTTTGTTATAGCTCTGTAGTAGAGTTTGAAGTTCGGCATGGATAGCCCTCCCATATTGTCTTTATCCCCTAGAATTGTTTTGGCTATTCTAGGTCTTTTGTTGTTCCATATAAATTTTTGGACTGTTTTCTGTATTTCAGTGATGTACGTCATTGGGATTTTAATAGGAATTGCATTGAATTTGTATATTAGTTTTGGAAGTATTACCATCTTTACTATATTAAGTCGGCCTATCCAGGAGCATAGGAGGTCTTTCCATTTCCTAGTGTCTTCTGCAATTTCTTTCTTTAACTTTTTATAGTTTTCATTAAATAGTTCTTTTACATCTTTGGTTAGGTTAATTCCTAAATATTTTATTTTTTGGGAGGTTATTGTGAATGGGGTTGCTCCCTTTATTTCCCTCTCTTCCCGTACGTTATCAGTGTATAGGAAGGCAACTGATTTTTGTGGGTTTATTTTGCATCCTGCTATTTTGCCGAAGTGACTTATGATTTCTAAAAGTTTGGGGATGGAGTTTTTGGGATCGTGGAGGTATAGTATCATGTTGTCTGCAAAAAGGGATAGTTTCACTTCTTCTTTCCCTATGCGGATCCCTTTAATGTCTTTTTCTTGCCTTATTGCCCTGGCTAAGGGTTCTAGGACTATGTTGAAGAGGAGTGGAGACAGTGGGCATCCTTGCCTTGTTCCTGATTTTAGGAGGATTGGTTGTAGCTTTTCCCCATTAAGTATAATATTGGCTATTGGTCTGTCATAAATGGCTTTGTTTTTAGAAATGTTCCTTCTATTCCTATTTTCTCCAGAGCTTTTAGCATGAATGAATGTTGAATTTTATCAAAGGCCTTTTCTGCATCTGTGGTGATAATCATGTGATTTGTCCTTTAGCTTTTTCACTCAAGGCTGGTACTGTATCACTTGGGCCATACTTCTACTTCAAGCTTTTTGGTGGTTTATGGGAGATAAAGTCTCATTCAGATTTCTCTGCCTGAACTGGCTTCAAATAGGGATTCTAAGATCTTAGCCTCTTGCAGCTAAATTTACAAATATGAGCCTGTTTTTCTTTCTTTTTTTTTTTTTTGGTCGGTCGTGGGACCTGAACTCTGGGCCTGGGAGCTGTCCCTCAGCTCTTCAGCTCAAGGCTAGTGCTCTACTACTTGAGCCACAGTGCCACTTCCTGTGCCTTTCCTGCTGGGCTGGTTTTGAACCATGATCCTCAGATCTTAGCCTCAGCCTCCTGAGTAGCTAGGATTACTTACAGGCATGAGCCACCACGCCCCGAGGCTTTCATTCTTTTTCAGATCAAGTATCAAGTTTTTGCTCTGGGCTGATGTCAGACCCTGACCGACTATTTATAGCGTCCCTCTTAGAGGGAAGCATTACAGGTACACACCACCATATCTGTACTGGCTAGAATTTGAGATTTCAACTCAGGACTTTTGACTAAAACCATTTCTTTCTTTTATGTCAGTTGTGGGGATTTTGAAACAGTGTCACGTAGTTAACAGTGGAGAAACTGAGGTTGAGTCTTTTCTTGGAGATGACCAAGTTTGAACTCAGGGCATCCTTCCATTTGACAGACTGATGCTCATGTCTTTTGCTTTTTTTTTTTGTCGGTCATGGGGCTTGAACTCTGGGCCTGGACGCTTTCTCTGCGTTCTTCAGCTCAAGGCGAGCGTTCTACCACTTGAGCCACAGTACCACTTCCTGTTTTCTAGTGATTTATTAGAGATAAGAGTCTCATGGAGTTTCCTGCCTGGGCTGGCTTTGAATTGTGATCCTCAGATCTCAACCTCCTGAGTAGCTTGGATTACAGGTGTGAGCCACCAACGCCCGGCACATCTTTTGCTTTAAATCTTTTTTTTTTTGGGGGGGGAGGTGCTGTACTGGGGCTTAAACTTATAGCCTGGTGCTGTCCCTATGCTTTTTCTTTCACTCAAGACTAGTGCTCTGCCACTTTGAGCCACAGGACCACTTGTTTTCTGGTGGTTAACTAGAGGAGATAAGAATCTCACAGACTTCCCAGCCCAGGCTGGTTTTAAACTGTGATCCTCAGATCTCTGCCTCCACAGTAGCTAGGATTACAGCATGAGCCACCAGTGCCCAGCTAACTAAAACCTTTTTTTTTTTTTTGGTCAGTTGTGGGGCTTGAACTCTGGGCCTGGGCTCTGTCCCTCAGCTCTTCAGCTCAAGGCAAGCACTCTACCACTTGAGCCACAGCAACACTTCTGGTTTTCTGGTGGTTTAATGGAGAAAAGAGTCTCACGGACTTTCCTGCTAGGGCTGGCTTTGAACTGCTATCCTCAGATCTCAGCCTTCTGATTAGCTAGGATTATAGGCATGAGGCACTAGCACCTAGCTTAAAACCATTTCTTTTTGCTGTCCTTGTTGCTTTCTTCAGAAGGGGTCACTGAGCTGTCATAGGGAGAGTTGCGAAAATCAATAGGTCAAAACATACAAATGTTTATTATTACCTGGCTGACCACAGGGCATATGTAGGGGTGCATGGCAGTGCTGCTGGCTTTTGGTTAAATTATCCCCAAGGCTTGACTCCAGCTCGTCAGGGACCTCCAGAACCTAGCAGTAGGTAAGCTTGTCAGCTAGGGATTTTGGAAACATATGTGCCATGGGGGTCCAGACAGAGAAAGTGGACCCTTTCATGGGTTTGATCAAAAGCCAGTTCTCACCAGCACCAGTGTATACCTATAAGCCTAGCTAGTTAGGAGGCTGAGATCTAGAGGCTCAAAGCTTGAAGTCAGCCTGAGCAGAAAGTCTGCTTTCATTTCTAAAATAACCAGCACACACAGACACAGACACACACAGACACACACACAGACACACACACACACAGACACACACACACAGACACACACACAGACACACACAGACACACACACAGACACACACAGACACACACAGACACACAGACACACACAGACACACACACAGACACACACACACACACACACACACACAGACACACACACACACACACACACACACACACACACACACACACACACACACACACACACACACACACACACACACACACACACACACACACACACACACACACACACACACACACACACACACACACACACACACACACACACACCCTACCCCTGAACCAGTTTTCTTTTTCTCTTTCCCAAAGTAGAAGAGTGTTTAAGGTCCTTGACATCAGGGACAGCATCTGCCCATACTTTATCTCTAAGACTTAACAGAGGAGGCAAAGAGGAAATACTGCTCATGTGAGCTGTACAGACAACTCTCTTTTTTCATTTAATTCCCAAATCCTACCAAATAGAGAATTGCTTAAATTAGAAAAAAGCGGCTACTATTTATGGAATACTTGTGCCAGACACTGCTCTGGGTGTTTTACATATCACTTGCACAGCTCAGCAAGTGTGGTGACTGTCTTTGTTTGCTTCAGGGCAGAGGTAGTCACTCATTATTTCAATTAAAGGTGGAACGGGTAATAGAAGCCCCAAGAAAGTAGAGGATATTTGAGCAGAAACTAAGTGCTCAACTCTGGACGGAGCAGGTGGATTCAAAGTACAGCTTAGCTTTAACTATATAAGGAAAGGCAGGCCACTTAATCTGCCAAGTGTTACTAAAGACTGAAGGAAACTACTGCCCCAGCCGCCAGACATGGAAACTCAGACCAACAGTGCCCATCGCATAGTAAGTACTAGGTAAGGGCAACTACCACTATCATCAGGAAAACCATGCTGAGTTCTTCTTTGAGACAGGCTAAAGTAGTGTGAGAGAAGAACTTACCCAAATTCTCTGCCTTGTAGGTTATTTTGCTGGGCTGGCAAAAGGGTAACGAATAGTATTCATAAGGTAGCTGAGTTCGAGAGCTGGTGAGTTTCACAGCCTGGTGGGAAAACAAAGGCTGTTATATTCTTCATTCCAGCAGAAGCTAAAGATGACTGTTCTGAGAACATTCCTTGAACCCGCTCATTATTAACACTCTTGGGAAAGAACCCACTAGGCAAAATGATGTAGCAGACAGACTGTACTGTCTACAACTCTGGATTTCACTTTTCCCTAGTTTTAGACTGAATTATAGATTTAGTTTAAAATCATGAGATTGAATATACACAGAGTTTTAGAATGCGTGGCTATCTTTTGACAAGATAATTCCATTCTAGGCATCCATCCATGTTTTAAGTAAGGAAAAACTTTTAGGAACAAAGATGTCCATTCCTTATTTGTAAGTACAAAGGCCCTCTCGCCCATCACTCCCTCAAGTCCTCCTGCCCCAGGCTTTCTCCTTTGCCTTATTCCACGTTCATCTAATGCCTTCCCAAACTTAGGTTTTGGCTTCAGTTCCCAAACCCCTGAGCCTCGCCTCCTACCCACTGTATCCAATGGGTCTTGAGCTCAACCCCTTGAGCTTCTTATAGCACTTCAGGCAAAATGCAGTTATCTGCTTTACTTATGGTCCATGAGAGAATGGACCATAAGTGTCTTGATCTGTGCTTGCAGCAAGGCAGAGCAGGTATTCTGAAGAAAGGAAAACGGAAAACGACTAAACACCTTATAATAAAAACAGTGAAGAAACCATAGTATGCTACCACTGAATTAAGTGTAGTATAAGCATTAAACACAGGGTTAATGAAAATAGTTCATGAGAAGGTTTAAGGAGAGTATTTAGGAGATGATACAAACATCCTGCAGAATGGGCAGCAGGCACAAAAAACCCATAGGTAAAACAGAATGTTGCGGCCCCCCCCCCCCCCATACATATCTTTACTACTTAAGAACTACCCATCATTGGTCATACAGCATGTTATCACACTTTTTGTGTTTTATCATTCACAGTACAAAGAGGTGAGTCTCACCTTTATGCTCTCTTCCCAACAAAGGTATCTACTCCCACACACCTACCCTGGCAGGACTAGAAGCCAACCATTCCGATACTCCTTATGCCACAAGCTTTGCTCTAGAGGGGGCATTTGGCAGAGGCCAAATTAGAAGAAAGGGCACTGCAGTGGTAAAAAGATGGGACTTGAAATTAGTCCTATACCTGCCTCACCATGTGACCTTGGACATGTTGGTTCACTTCCTTGGGCTTTAAATTTTACCTGTGAAATACACAGAAATTTGCAAAACACAAAGAATGTGCAGTCAGTGTTTTACAGGAGGCAGGAGGACACATCATAAGATAAGGCAGGTCAAATGCCTGGCATGTAAATAAACCTCAGTAAATGTCACTCTGACATTTTTCTGGCAAAATACAAGATTGCCTTCCAAGGAAGAGAGCCTCCCAATAAATGAACAATATGAGCAGATGCTAGATATTATGCAAAGAAAATTGATAACCGAAGGGGATGGATCTGTGGCAGAGAGTCCACAGAAGAGGAGGTAAGTGGAATGAGACAGAGATGTCTCTATATGTGTATACGTGTGCGTGTTGCTTACAAGCAACAAGGAGAGCGAAAGAGGTACACATGCATATGAGCACACAAAAGCAAAGACCAGCAGAGAAAAATCACTTTCACAGGAGTGATGTAGAGAGACACAAAGCCAGAGGCAGAGAGAGAGGGCAATGCAGAGGCTCTGAACTGCAGGCAGAGGTGCAGCATGCAGTGGGGGTCTGTGCTGTCTGTAATCACAGGATGGACATGGCAGGTGAGCTCTGCCCTCCAGCCTGGCTGCCCAGCGTAGATGCAGCTATGTCCTTGGACATACTCACCTTGATTTCTACAGGGTCGTTTTGGTGGAAGTTGATTGGTGCAACCCCTGGGACATAGAAGGCGTTTGTTTCAGCTGTGAGAGAGAGAAGTACCAGGGACCACAGCCACCAATCCTGCTGGGAAGAAGAGAGGCTACAGTTGGAATGTAGAATGAAATCCTCACCATCTCTGCCCAGGGCAGATCAAGTGGCAACCTTTACCTCTGCTTCCACTGACCAAATGTCATCTCATGTTCTAGTAAGCCTGAGGTCCTTGTAAATAGGGCCAAATGCTCCCAAGAGTGCCAGGCTAATAAGTCTGGACTTCCAGAAATGAGCCATGAAATGGGTCACATAATTAATAACTGGGCAAAAAGGAAGACTGACACACAGGAGCCACACTCAATACTCCTGAGCATTGTCATTTTTTTGTCCATTGTGGGCTTGAACTCTGGGCTTGGGTGCTGTCCCTGAGCTCTTCAGCTCAAGGCAAGTGCTCTACTCCTTGAGTCACAGCGCACTTCTGGTTTTCTAGTGGTTTATTAGAGATAAGAGTCTCACGGACTTTCCTGCCCGGGCTGGCTTTGAACTGTGATCCTCAGATCTCAGCCTCCTGAGTAGCTAGGATTACAGGCGTGAGCCACCGGCACCCAGCATAGCATTGTCTTTTTTGTGCTCGTACTGGGGCTTAAACTCATGGCCTCATGCTCTCACTTTTTTTTTTTCCCCAGTCACAGTTGATGTTCTACAGCTTGAGCCATGTCTAATTTTTTTTTTTTTCTGATAAATTAGATAAATTAGCCTCTTGGACTTTTCTGTCTGGGCTGACTTGAAGTATGATCCTCAGATCTCAGCTTCCTGAGTGGCTAGGATTACAGGCATGAGCCACCAGAGCTCGGCTGAGCACTGTCCTTTTAACTGTTTCCCAGTGTATCACTCCTCCAGTACAGCTTGCAGGAAATAAAGCACCACAATGTTCTGTAAGTTCCCATTTCTCTTTATAGCAACAGGCTCACTTGGTCAGGAAGCGCTTGTGTTATCAATGTATTTTTCCATACGTGCTCTCCAAAATGGCACCTTCTACTCCTCCCTTCACTCAGCCCAGTCCCACACGTCTGTTGTCCTTTGAGCACCCCTTCAGTTTATTCTACTCTTGCTCCAACACCTTCTCCACAGGTTGCTGCATGGAACACTTATTATTTCATTCAGGTGTCTCTCAAAGGTCACCTCCTCAGAAGTCTTTCTTTTTTTTTTTTTTTTGGGGGGGGGGGGGAGTCCTGTCATGGGGCCTGAACTCTGGGCCTGGGCGCTGTCCCTCAGCTCCTCAGCTCAAGGCTAGCACTCTACCAACTTGAGCCACAGTGCCACTTTCGGCTTTTTTCTTTTTGCATATGTGGTGCTGAGGAATCGAACCCAGGGCCGCGAGCATGCAAGGCAAGTGCTCTACCACTGAGCCACCTTCCCAGCCCCTCCTCAGAAGTCTTCAGCAGCCTTTCTATCTAAAATGGCAGCCTCAGGCCTCCCATTACCACCTCTATCTCCTCACAAACTTATCTACTTGACATTATGCTGTGGGCAGATATGTCTGTTTGTGTTTCCCTTGTCTTCCTTCTCCTCTTGAATTTAATCGTATTTTTATTTATTTATTTTTGGTCAGTCCTTGAACTCAGGCATAGGCGCTGTCCTTGAGCTTTGTTGCTCAAGGATAGCACTCTACCACTACAAGCCACAGCTCCACTTCTGGTTTTCTGGTGGTTAATTGGAGATAAGTCTGACAGACTTTCCAGCCTGGGCTGGCTTTGAAAGGCAATCCTCAGGTCTCAGCTTTCTGAATAGCAGGGATTACAGGTGTGGGCCACTGGCACTTGGCTTTTCTTTTAGGGAGCAGGACTCAGAAAATATTTTATACAGGCCATGCACCTAGGAATCTAGTGCAACCCATGCCAATCTCTGACCTCAACAAAATCTATCCAAAGTGCCTCCACCTATTGAAAGAACTAGGAGAGCTGCTAGACTCTTGTCTCTCTGCCTGGTAGGAACAGAAAACGGACATTTGTTATCCACATGCCTAAATCACCAACTTAATTGTGTTTCTCCATCTGCCTTTCTATACTCTTCACTGCTGCTGTTTCCTCCCACCCAGACACTGGCCACAGCCTCCTAATCACTTTGTTGTATAGCTTCTCCACCCATTAAGTTATGCTCTCCACTCTGCACAATTCAGGATTTCTTCCAATATGCAATTTTATAAGCAATCAATCTCTTTGAAGAGGCTTGTTCAACTGCAGAATCATTTACATCTTTACCTGGACTACAACTTTAAGATTCTAGTCAGGTACTGTGGCTCATTCTTGTAGTCCCAGCTACTCTGTAGGCTATTGCAGCTTCACTTGAGGCCAGGAATTTGAGGCTAGGCTGGACAACGTGGTGACTACACTGGTATACTCTGTGTAATTTGATCAAAGCCTTAAAAGTAATATATCTGGGCTGGGAAGGTGGCTCAGTGGCTGAGTGCTTGCCTTGCATACATGAAGCCCTTCAATTCCTCAGCACTACATAGAAAGAAAAAGCCAGACATGGTGCTGTGGCTCAAGTGGTTGAGTTCTAGCCTTGAGTTGAAGAGCTGAGGGACAGCACCTAGGCCCAGAGTTAAGGTTCCACAACCAAAAAAAAAAAAAAAAGTAATATATTCACTCACAATAAATCCAATTGATTAATCGTAAACTTTTATAGATACCTGCTACTTGCCATTTCTTATGAAATAAAAATTGACTCCAATAAAACCAGTAATAGTAGCTAAGATAGACATGTATTTGGTAATCAGGGGGTAGGCAGAATTAGCAGTGCAGGAAAATCTTTTAAAAAGAGACAAGAAGGGGGCTGGGAAAGGGGCTCAGTGGTAGAGCGCTTGCCTTGCATGCATGAGGCCCTGGGTTTGATTCCCTAGCACCACATAAGCAAAAAGAAAAAAAGCCGGAAGTGGCTCTGTGGCTCAAGTGGTAGAGCGCTAGCCTTGAGCTGAAGAGCTGAGGGCCAGAGGCTGAAGTGCCCAGGCCCAGAGTTCAGGCCCCACGACTGGACCCCCCCCCAAAAAAATAAATAAATAAATAAAATAAAAAGAGACAAGAAGTGGAGATGTGTCTCAAGTGCTAAAGCACCAGCCTTAAGCAAACAAGTAAGATAGTGAGGCCCAGCTGGGCGTTGGTAGCTTATGCCCGCAACCCTACCCATCCAGAAGGCTGAGGTCTAAGGACTGTGGTTCAAAACCAGCTCAGGCAGGGAAATCCATGAGACTCTTCTCATCTCCAATTAGCCACCAAAAAGCCTGAAGTGGAGTTGTGGCTAAAGTGGTAGAACACTAGCCTTGAGTATAAAAGCTCAGGGACTGTGCTCAGGTCCTGAGTTCAAACCCTAAGATCAGCATCAAAAAAAAGGCAAAATAAGCACCGGACAGCTTTCCCCTGCCTTGACCTTTTCTCCTCATAGCTGGCACTCTACCACATCCATACTTCTGGTGTTTTGCTGGAGAAAAAAGTCTCTCAGATTTGTCTGCCTAGGCTGCTTTGAACTGTGAGTCTCAGATCTGTTTCCTGATTAGCTAGGATTACAGGCATAAGCTACTAATGCCTAGCTACCAGCCAACTCTAGATAGAGAAAAATATGAAACCATCCCTTCATATAGTACACAGGTTTAATACCATGCTTCTTATTAATTTTTCCTATAAGCCCTCCTCACAATTAAGAAGTCCCCCCACCCTTTTTTCCCCCTCCAGTCCTGGGCACTGTTCCTGAGCTTCTTTTGCTCTAAGCTAGCACTCTACCACGTGAGCCACAGTACCACTTCTGTTTTTTTTTCCCTGTTTATGTAGTACTGAGGAACAGGGCTTCATGCATGCTAGGCAAGCACTCTATCACTGTCACATTCGTCACATACCCACCCCTTAAGAAGGAATTGATAAGCCGGGCGCTGGTGGCTCACGCCTGTAATCCTAGCTACTCAGGAGGCTGAGATCTGAGGATCTCGGTTCAAAGCCAGCCCGGGCAGGAGAGACCGTGAGACTCCTATCTCCAATAAACCACCAGAAAACCAGAAGTGGCGCTGTAGCTCAAGTGGTAGAGCGCTCGCCTTGAGCTGAAGAGCTGAGGGACAGCACCCAGGCCCAGAGTTCAAGCACCACGACCGACAAAAAAAAAAAAAAAAAGAAGGGATTGATACCGTCTATCTTTCCATTGGTCTAAAGACCTACTGTTGAGAATCACTGACAATATCGATTATCCCATACCTTACCTGCATCTATGCTAACTGTTCTTTACACTGATGTAATCTGGGGAGTGTTAAAAATGACCAGTGCCAAAGCTTCATCCATATTATTAGTCATCCTGACCAATTAAGTCAGAATCTAAGAGCTAGGACCACAGTTTCTGTATTTTTAAAGAGTTCCTAGGTCCTCACTACTTAAAGTGAGATCCTTGGAGAGCATCATCATTTTCTGGAAGCTCACAGGAGCTAATGAACCAGAACTGGCACTGTAGCAAGTTGTCTATGTTACAAGTCCACCTCTCTAAGTGATCCTCAGTCAGGGTCAAGAACCACAGCTCAGGAGAAGTATCAATCTGAGATGATACATAGCCCTATGAGGGAAGGTCCTAAATCCTTCTATTTGACCAGGTTCAAAACTGCACCTGGCCAATCAACACGAAGGCACCCGTCAAATACTGAGGAAGGCTCTGAGTTTGGGGCCTTGAAGTATTGGCAAGAAGTTGAAGTCTATATTCAGTTTTGCTGGGCCCTGTGACCTGTCCTCATTTATTAGGAAGGGCTCCTGTAGTAAAAGTGGGATTGAAGAAAAAATGTGGATTTGAAAACACAAACTAACCAGTGAGTCATTATTTCAGGCAGTATGATCATTATTCTCACTCTCTGAAAACACATGTTCTGAATTTCCCCTCCACAGGAGCCTGATGTCAGACCTTTTAGCCTTATCTGATAAGCAATTTGAAGTCGGGGCACAGGATTACAATCGCCTCAGTTTATCAAGCCAATTAAATCTAAGAAGTTCTACTGTCTTTGGAAACAGATTCTTCCAGACTTAGCAGAGACACCACCCTGGGGAACTCAAGGACTCCCTTGGGAGCTC